ATTAATTCTTCTATTTCCCATTTTAATTAGCGTTTTAGCATATTCCTATTTTTACACAATTATAAAAGAAGCCACGTCTCTACTTCTCTCCCTATTGACTAATATACCTCCCTTTTTAAATGGCAAAATCACTTCTTTTCGCATACTTATAAAATATAATTGCCTCTTCTTCACTCATAAAACATTGACTAATAAAAAGATTAAAGATGCTTTCTAATGAACCATCATTACTTTCACTTTTAAAATTTCATCGTTTTCTTTTTCATCAAGAGGATCATTCAAGTCAAAGTCGAAATTAGTTCTTCAAACAACAAATCCATCTTCAATTGATATTCTAGCCATGATAAACACTTGAAAACTATAAACTTTTTTTTAAAGGAAATATTAAGATTAAAAGCAGACAAAACAACTCAATTAAAATAATAATCTTAAGTTATAAGTGTATTTGAAATAAAAAATTTTCTCATCACATTCGACATAAAACAGACAGTAAAAAGAGAAAAAGATGTTGAATCAATTCATGCAATTTCCTTCTAAATTCATTTAGTGGAGATTAAATAAAATTATTATGGAGGGAAAACTTCATCTACTAAAAGTTAATAAATAAATAAGTAAAAGAGAGAGGAAAATTATGGAGGAAAATATGATAATTGTTGTCTATTATTAGTTTCCTTCTAAAAAATAATCCATAACAACCTTTTCCATTCTCCTAAAAAAACCCTGTATATTTTTTTATCCTTTAATTTTCTCAATTATTTCCTACCACATTATTTATTGTTTCTAACATTTCAAATAGCTAGAGACATCACAAGAAAATAGTTACATCTAATTTAATTGTAAAAAGTTGTTCAGCGCCAAGCCAATATGGATCCACCAAGTGAGAGCTATACTTTTTCCCAAATCCATAGTTAAGGTGAGTTCAATTTTAATCTTTAACTCAATTAGTAACTTGATTAATTTTGAAAAAGTAATTTTGCATCTTGAATTCTCCAATCTTTCATGTTGTTCCCTTTGTTAGCCCATCTCTAACACTTAAACGCCAATATATTCTTTATTCCCATGTTCTATTTTTAATGGGACTTCTCTATTAACACACCACGTTGTTCAATTTTTGTAATTTGAGTTGTAACTAAATTGATTTTGATCTCTTATAATAAGAGTTTGTTTTCAATTGGATTACAATGAGGAGTAGGAGAGAGAAAAAATTTGGGGAATTGAAAAGAAAAGAAGAGGAACGAAGACGGGTAGAATAGAAGAAAAAAAAAAATCTGCATGGTGAAAGCAAATAAATGAGGGCATTTTAATCTAAAAAAAAGTATTTTATGATTTAAATTATAAAATATTAATCATTTGATAAGGTTAAACTCTTGACATTAAAGACTTCCTTTAATAAAGGATTTTTATGCTACAATTTAAATTAGTCTAAATTATAAAACAAATTTTTTTTTTAATTTTAATAAAATATAAAAAAACCCTCAATTAAGGCAATCACTTAACTCATGAAAACATACTTTTTTAAATTGATATTTGATATCTTAATAAATGCTCACTAACAAGACACAGATTAAAAGATTTTTTAAAGAATATATAATTAAAGAATATGGTTGGAAATAAACACAGAGTAACTACTGAATACGATATGATTAGTGCGACCAAAATAATAAAACAATAAATCAAGAAATGTGGTATGGACAAAAAAGATAAAAAGGGGGTTGGGTGGCAGACAGAAAATTAAAAGCAAAGATAGCAGCCGTGGATTTTGATTAGGCCTGTCGTGGGTGAGAGAGATACCAAATGTGTGACACATGATATGGTGGGGTAGGCCCTGTGTATGACCGACCATGCACGTTGTCCCTCCCATCACAATTCACGACCATACGCAGATTAATAAAATCATTTAGACTTATTGATCGAACATACATACCCTGCCGAGTGCAGACAGACGGCTAAAACTAACATTTAGCCCCCTCATTTTATAAAATTAAAAAGTTTTAGCTCTTACTTTTATAATATGATATTTTTAGTCTTTTACCTCACAAAATTGATAAGTTTTAATCCCTCTCCTTACAAAGTTGATAGGTTTTAGCCCATTATCTTATATTATGACATTTTTAACCCCTTATTTGTACAAATTGAATAAAATAACCCTTACTTCACATCAAGTTATAATGTTTTGTTAGTTTTATTAATTGACTGTTAGCATCCATTAGCATTCCGTTAATAGAACTAACAAATAAAATTAAATTTAAATTTCACATTTTTTATAACGAATATTAATAGTCAGTTAACAAAACTAAAAGAATGTTATAACTTGATGTTAAGTGACGGTTATTTTCTTTAATTCATATAGGTAAAGGGCTAAAAATGTTATAATATAATGTGAATGGTTAATATTTTTCAATTTTGTAAGGTAAGGAGTCAAAACCTATCAATTTTATAAAATAAAGGGCTAAAGATATTATGTTATAAGGTGAGAGGTTAAAATTTATCAACTTTTATAAGATGAAGGGTTAAATATTGGTTTTTGCCGCAGACAGACCCACGTGCGCTTGACCGACCATCCATACCAACTTCTTTCAATTCCAGTTTTCGAGGGTTTTTTTTTTAAATATTATTGTTAGGGAAAAAGTATTAGTTAATTTTTACTTTTAAAATAAATTAAAATCTTAATGTTAAATTATATTATGTTATTTAATTAAAATTAAAAATTTATCTCATTAAATATTAATATTTAAATTTAAAAACTGATTATAA